TGGTCTTTTAATAATCATTAAATATCTGCTTAGCCATACTGCTTGAAAGAATCGATCGAACCCACTCCATTCCCGCCCCATTTTAAATTTTAACCTAGGCCAAAAAAATCACCTTCCAATCTAATTACAGACAACAACATATGTCAAAATGAAGCAAAAAAGAACTGTTAAAATTAATTTTCACGCACTTCGAAAACACAACCGCACGCTCGAACATCGAAGACGAAATTGGGCAGGACTGCTGGGTTCAAACGGGAGGCCCCAATTAGGTGACACGCTCATTGCCTTTTGCTAAACCTGGCTATGCTGTTGCTATTATGTTTTCTTGCTGTTACCCTTCATATGACTTGGTTTTGTGGAAATGTACTCCCCATCAGATTGAACTGGGTCGGGATGTCGGATCGTGTACGGGGTTCCCTACCACAGTACCGCAGCGACTAAAACTTCTCTGCGATGTGTGGATGATTTAGCTATTATTGGGTGGGAGGATCTTCCTTTTCACTCCGCGCTTCGTTTGTATGAAGCGATCTCTCGATTCGTTGAAGCCTAACGCGTATCGTTATTAATGAAGTCTATCGTGAAGTCACTTTTGACCATGGCACAGAAAGCTACTTGGGTGCTTCATATATAAGGTTATAATGACGTAAAGCAAGCGTCGCAGGATCAGCTAGCCGTTAGCCCAGCATGCGTTAATTCTGTTTATTTGCCCAATTCACTATGTCAATGAAGTTCAAAAGCTCAGCCACCTCGGTCAAGTCATGGTTGCCAGTGCAGGTCTCACATGATTCATTCGTTAGCGATTACTGATGACTTGCCATGAAATTGTTTACAAACGGTTATCTTGCAAAGGGGCAATATAATTCGCAGGACAAAGTGACAGCTCGAAGTGTCATGAATTTGCAAAACATTTATTATCGTACTCGAGTCTTTACGTGGCCGGCCCTAAGGTCTTGTTGAACCTTTTTCTTTTATTTGACAATACTTTTCCTTGGGTCAAATTTACTTTCCTCTTGATTAGCTGCTTCTGCTTTTTCACAGCAAATGAAGATAGGCCGACGCACGTGCACACGTACGTTTTATCAAACATTTGGACAGAAATGTATGTGGATTATATCATTGCCGACCTCTGTCTGAACGGTCTACGCGTGCCTTCAGCTCTTAGGCGATGATGCCTGCTGACTTTTGAAAGATTCTCCGGCGCCATTCCGCGGGAAGGCGTCAGATCAATTTGCCGACATTATTATATTTCGAGTACTGGTGCGGGTATTGAGAACGGCTAAAATTTCAGCCGTCGCCATATGCATAGAGAAGTAGTGAATTTGCGACCGCTATTGGTAGGATTGGAGATTCGGATTGCCGGCAAAAGAAAGAACTTCGAACTTTGTCTATGAACTATTGCCGTATTGGTTACGTTCGGTCTGCGTTACGCCCGCATATTGGAACACTCGACGCGTCTGTCTGCTTGGCCCGTTGGGCCTTAAGACCAGAGTCGCAGTAGCGCTTACTTGTGAGCGTTGTTTCACCGATAATTGTTCCGCACTTTGACGCGACTCGTTCGATGCGTCCGTCGATGATAAAACATGAGCCAGCCGCGTGGTGTCACCAACAACTTAGTGGCCTGGTTTGAGTTATAGACAAATTTTATTATGACATTAAATTATAATTTGATTGGCTCTTATATAGTCTCGAAGGATTAGCAGAAGTAGGATTTTTCCTTGTTCGACTGTGATTATAGCGACGATTCTGAAAGTTGTGGCTAATTTCGAAAATATTCTATATATTATTTTCGAATTTGTCGCCTAAGAGTCTCACCTTCCTTATCTACAACAGTCTCAAACGTACATCTAATCTCTCCAAATCCAATTGAATCTTTTTTAATTCCCTGTTTTTTTTTTTAGGCGGGGGGGACTCTTATTCCTGATACTGTTGTTGACTCTTTTTCTAAATAATGACTCCTAGTGCCTCCGTTCTACACAGCTTCCGCTGGGGCCTGCGGCACAGGTCCGTTGATATCATGGGACTGTCGCCACTAAATCCCCGAGAGACGATTGAACTGACCCGTCGGCGCTGATCGTCTGGAGGCCCTTTCCTGCCACACAGACCTCCTGCGGGGCGAGACTGAAGATCTGTCAATCAATTTTGAAAATTCGATCTGAGTAGCAGGGGGGTTTAGCCGTGTTCCACTACCCCAGCGAGGTGAACTCGCGTGGTCTGCGAATTTAATGTCGGAGACGCTCTGTTCGAATGATTTCACTTTCGACTTTTTCGGGTAGTTGTTGAATTAATGATGCTCGACCAAGTGCTTGCCACGGGTGGATCGCTGCTACGGTGAGCGACGCGCGCGTTGTATAAGCGTGCTAATAAAAAACTGGCAAAACGTTCTTACCAGTTGAAACCTTTTCTACTCGTGCGATAGGACGTCAAGATCAAGTGTCCGTGCTACAGATACACGAAGGATTCAGTCTGGCTACAAAGTAATTAGAGGTAACTTCCTCTTAAGCTTAACGTTGTAATTTCAAAGTTAACGAGTGTTCATAACTTATCAGTTTGTTTGAAGTTTCGCTGTGCGAGGCAAGTATCGAACAGATTTACGTACCTTTTCCGGCGTTTTTATCGAATATTCAGGTTAGCCTACGGCATAATGCCTTTGTGGAGAGCAAAGGCTTGTGAAAGTTCCATAATAATACTACGAGTCCTTCTAATTGATAATGATGTCAAGTTATCAGAAACCTCATCATCCTTTTAGGTCGAATCGTTGTTGTTTTGCGTGCTGGATATATGTGTGTGTATCCGATATTTGAATTTTTCATTAAGTGAAAGTGAAATTGAGTCTATAAAAAAAAAGTGTCTAAATATTCTCAGTTAAATGATTAAAAACTGCGAGAAAATTCATCCATCCATTCATTCGAGTACCGTTATAAATGTTTGTTGTTACACTGTCAATCGAAGCAACAAGGTCAGTGTTCACAAGTTAGCACAGAAAGTGCTACCGATCTTCAACGGTCCACACGAAACCAGCCGGTTTCTTCACCTGCCCGTCACAGCGTGTTCTTTTTCATAAAGGGTATTCGGTTAAACAAGAAATCCCCACAGCTATATTCTAGCTTGCTTCGGTAGACAGAAGCAAATTTTTGCTAGGGATGTTACAACTATTCTACACTATGTAAGACTCTCTAATCGTCCGCATTGAAAAAATGACAAGGCTGAATCGATGATAAAGTAGATTTCTGGATGGCTTTGTCGTCTATAGAATAAAGATTTTTCAATTTTTCCTTATCGGTGGCTGTGTCCGGCGTGAGGGCTTGACACGCGTAGCCTCGATAGTCCTGGAAGAAGAAACACTGTAAAAGCAACTAACAACCGACTTATCATTTAAAGGACAGGGCTATCTAACGACAGGTTTCAGATCGTCACCGATTGCGCGACTGTACAATCAAACGGTCATTCACCACGCCATTCCCCTACAACTATCGCCTCCCTAATAAGAGCTAAGCGACCAAGCCATCCCGTGATCTCTGTAGCGTGACTTGCACGCGCCTCGGATCTGCATCTGCTATTAAAAGCTCTGTTGCAAGTACCTCCATCAGGCAGCTCTTTTCGTTCTTCTGTTAGAATTAGCCAATGGGAGTTATACTGTGATCGCGGCGCAGATCATCAACTCTATCCATGCGACAACCATTCTGACTCTGTGCATGACTTCGAAATACATCGTACGAAATCCATACCTGCGGACAAAGTGCTGGTGGGCCAAGCTCGTAGCCGTTATAAGCTATAATGAACCGCAGTAAAGCCGTCGCCGCCGCCGCCACCTTCAACGGCTTTAAACCTTCTGACTATGTATTTACTTGTGTCTGTAATATATATATACATACATACTTCGGATAACATAGTCCTCTTGTCTGACCGTGCATATCCACCTAGGCCGGTAAATTCACTCTCTTTTTTGTTTTCACCTGCTTTGTGCTACATGGACAGACAGCGACCTTTTTCAGCAAAGATGGCAGCATCCTTTGGAGGTGGAAAAGTTCGTTAGCCACTTCACTCCGAAAGACTTCTGCATCCGAGCTTTCGGGTAGGGATTTTAGCAGTATTCGTTGATGTTCCATAATGGCGAACAGATCCACTCACAGTGACTTTTTTTCTCGTTATCGATGAGGTAGCTATAGGATGCGTTACCACTGCATAACGTGTGTTTCTAATTCTACTACAATAGATACAACTACAACTCTGATATTATTAAACATACCCTCAATAATGTAATATAGACAAACACCGATAGGAACAGGCAGCCAGAGCTTCTCTTTTTCGCCTTATATAGCAGCCTTTTCGGGACATTCATGAAGGTTTGCCTATTCAAAAGAACAAAACCTCACTCGATTTACTTTTTCCAGTACCCCTTAAAAGTAAATCGCCGGAAAAGCAGTAAATAGAGAAGCACCTATCGAACGTGTTCGCACCATCAGCTTTGATTTTTCCATGCTTAGGCTAATTCTAACTATTACTTGGTCGTTTGTTCCTCTGAGAAATCCAGGGTGCGCGCTTGCGCCCAACAACCAACCCTGCACGTTCTTCTTCTAAATTAAGCAGTAAAAAGCAGCCTTCGTCAATGAACATTTATACACACCCCCATATATACGGGTTATGCAAACCCGTTCGTAAGTTATGGTTTCACTATGGATAGAATAGGACCAAAGCTAATTACTGATTCACTATTCACGTATTTTTACCAGTGGTATACCCACGGTGGCTTGACATGAACTGGGGGCAAATAACCCTAATGGGCGGAGTAGTATGTATCATTAATCATGACGCTTCTAAACTTACCCGTTGTCCTTTCTTAGATTGGTTTTAATTGTTACCTAACTAATAGGACTAGTTTTAGTTCAGCTCTGTTATCTAAAAGCTACAACAATGGCGATACACAATAAAGAAATACATCTAACATCACTCAATAATAAATAACAACATGTTTTTATTTCGTTCCTTTTTACACACGAATATATGACTTTTTGCTGCGCTATCTGTGTCAAATGACAACGCTGTTTGGCCTAATTCACACTCTGCTATTTAGTCCACTCTCTAGATTTTTGGTGGGGCTTTTATTCGCTAGGGGCAAATCTTTAATCACAGTTATTTACAAACAGGTATAACCCCTAGTCACCAACGAATGCACTTTGAGGTATTTTTTTTCTTTACAATTACGTTTCCCTGATGGAAATGACACCAACAAAATCGCTATATATAAAGCGATTTTGGTAGAGCAGTATGTACAAATAAAGGGGTGGTAAGGAAGGCACAAAGACGCCAAAAATGTATTATATACTTGTAAGTCGTTATTTACAAAACAGGGAATAATAATTTAACATGAGTGGGGAGACAGTCTTGCCGATGTTGTCGGATAGCTGGCGTACGCACCCAGCGGGCTACACTGATATTGTAGGTCTGATTGAAATGCCCCGGGCATCGACATACTTTGGTACTGGAACTGAACGTAGGGATAATCCTGTTGGCTAACAATACCGGATGTCGGATACTGATCGAGAGCAGTTGGGGTCGGACACCAGGATCCGGGGCCAGAGATCTCTGACGTTGTCAGATTACTAAGAATCATCGACGATGATGATTCCTGTTTAAAGCTTGATAACGTATTTGTCGAACTTACTTCACCAATTTGTTCAAAGCTCGTGTTCGTCGAAGTATTAGCATTCACGTTAGGAGACGCCGAGATACCGTGGCTGTTGTGGATTGTCAGATTGCCCATCTCAATGACGTTGTTGCTCTGACTATGTGTGCCACTATTCCTATTAATGATGTCGTTGTTGTTCATTTTGTCCGTAGACGCGGCATCGTCTTGTTCTAGAAGTCGTTGTAGAGCAGCAATATACTCGATGGCCTTCTGCAGTGTCTTCACTTTGGACAGACGCTTCGAGCGATTCTCGATCGGGACGCATTTGCGCAGCTTGGCGAACTGACCGTTGACGGCCTGCACCCTGCGCCGTTCGCGGGCGTTTCGTCGAGCAACGAGGTGAGGTGGTTTTTCGCGATGAGGTACGTGTTTATACGTCGACGTTTTCTTCTTATCGTTCTTGACGCCCTCGATAGTCTCTAGGAACGATGACTGGGACTCGTCCGATGACGGAGTCGGGCAGAATCGTCTAAGGCAGGTTAATAAGAAGCCGAACGTACATGTAAATTTGGTATGTATGACATATGAAAAACTTCATCAGAACTAACTACATTACGTGATTGGAGTATTGGCGTTTGTTACTGTGAGGGAATCTGAGCTTTAATTGCTATTGACTGTCCTAAAGAAGCAAATAATGAAGTGGGTGTCCAGAAGGAGATCACGGGAGGAACCTACCGTGGGTCAGAACCACGGACCGCATACGCGACCGCGTTAAACAAACACGCATATAAGAAAATTGAAAAAAATCATTGGCGGAAAATCAAATGGTGATAGTACAAATTAGCTCGGCCTCACGACTTTACGGCCTAGTTCGCTAAATATGACGTTGAGCAAATCCTGTTGCTCTGCGTATGTCTTTACCAAATATGATTAAAAGGAAAGTCATATTTGCTGATGGTATTTGCTCGACCAACTCGCGCATGATTCAGACAACAGCTGACAGTTAACTTCTTGAGTAAAAGCCAGCTCACGATTTTGATGACCAAATCGTGCCAGAGTCAGCACGAAATGGTGTACAAGATTTTTTCATGAGTGAGTCCTGCATGGCGATACCCATTGTGCTACGGGAAGCGAGCAATAATCATGAAATGATTAAATTCTCCCAAACTGCTATAATTTGCATTGATCAGCCAGGTGAACACCGCGGGCTTGAACTCGTAGCTACCAGTATTATGATAAAACTTTTCAGACCTCTTCTAGCCTAATTCTTCGCTAGATACGCGCAAACACTCATAAATGAAGGAGCACACTTACCCATGAGCTGCTTGGGAGTCGACGCCTCCCCACGAGAACTCCTGCTCCGAGGTAGGGCTTAGCATTAAGCTCGACTGCAGATCCATCATAACAATCCAACGTCTGTACGTAAGCGTAGAGACTTAACAGTTTTTCCAACTAGACTCTAGGTCTGTGTCTTTCAGCAGTCGATGTTCTTCAGACTCTAGACGATTTGTCTATACTATTAGGTTTTCGCTTCTATGTAGAAATAGCACTTCACTTTGCGACTTAATGTCGTTTTTGATTCTACCGAGTTTCTAGAGCCGCCGATTGCCTTTAAACCGCTGGCGGACAGTGACACCCTCTCCACCAACATCCTAGGGCGGAGCCAATGGGCGGAGCAACTCACGAGGTCTGCACGCGAGCAGTCGTCGCGCACGCGGCCGCTCGTCGAAACAACGGCCGCGCGTGAAAAAGAGAAAAAAAGCGACACAGAAAGGTGCCCTGGCCTATATGGCGATAATAACATGTAGGGGGCTCATATAGGATCATACGAAAGGTCTGGATGCCTTGCAATGTAAAACACCAACAGGATAACCATGATTCAACGGTTACAACGATTTCAGCTGACCAAGGTGTCCCGAAAAATATAACTGCTATGGATCAGTGCTCTCATGCATTACAGTATATACACATTATGTGCAATATTAGAGTAAAGGAAATGTAAAACATCTTTTTAAGATATAGAACCTGCGCAGGTTGCTCCTAACCCTGATTGTCGACGATTAATAAGGTACAATAACGAATTGTTAATAACAAAACACCTAATTATTATACACGATACATCTTATAAAGGCACGATTCGTTTCAGATTGATACGTGGTTTCATAGCGAAGCCTTTCCCTTAATTGACGCTCACGTGCACATTGTCCCTGTTAGGCTGAGCACTGACAAATGGGTCATGAGCGCATTTTCAGACCAACGGCAATCCGGCTGTGTAAACACTCCAGCCCGGATTCTCCTTTCCGTCGTTTGGAAAATGCATATGGCTAAAAACGAAGGCTAATTAATAGTTGGCAATCGAATATTTACTGTAAACCGTTGTTTTTGCTCATTTCGGTGTGATTATTTCATAGAAGCTTTCACTTTTTGCAGAATGTAGCACCGTCGGCTATTAATCGTGGATTACGCAGCCATTAATTAGGGCCATGAATTTCTATAGGTCGAGGCAGAATGGCCTAGGGGGTACATTATATTCTGAGAGGGAAGATACCCCCTAGGCTTCGGAAGTTGATACACTAATACTTTTTTCACATTTTGCAAATGTCCGGTTCGGAGAAAATGAAAAACAGTTGCTTCTCATAGGTTCCCTCAGATCGAGTCCTATTTCCTCAGGAAGATGCATTAAATATGTCACTGAACGCGTCCGCAGGTATCATCATGCCATCACCGGTCTCTATAGCTCCATCACTGACATCACTAACTGATGAATAAATTACATGTTTTTATGTGTGTATCAGGCAAAGCGTTCCTTCAATATGTAACATAAACAAGCTTCTATATTTGGATAGAACTCTTTTGAATAGCGGAATCCGTAAATATTACAATAGATTTCTGTAGTACAATAGTATCTAAATCGATATATGGCTTTATATCATAAGTAAGACCTCAATCCGTCCCCGCCGTTTGTACAACTTTCTAAGTATCATAACTTTGGTAGTTATTAAGTAAACTAGTTTCTGCTTCCTAACTATTGGTGCTGGGGGTTAATGGACACAGCTAGGGCAAATCGAAACGTTCACGCTTCGATGAAATCGAAAAAAAAAAGACACGTTTTTCAAGAACCGAACCACGCTTTTCACTTTGTAACTTATAGGTTTTCAGCTAGATCACAAAAGTTGTGCGCTATCGCCTCGATTGTTACGCGTCTGAAGTTTTTATCGCGTCTATATATTGCCAATATTCCTAGGAATACATATATATAATACTGGTAACATACTCAATAATTTATTAAAAATACACTTCAACGGACTGAAATAGGCATCCAGTCCTATGTCGAAATCACTTTTTCGGCGAGACTCTAAAGATCGATTTAGCTTTCAACACGAGTCTAAACTCGCGAAGTATCGATTTCATGTAAGGTATCCTGCAGGACCACCCTGTTGTGTGGTTCTATTGAACGTCGAAGTGTCCTCTTCAAAAAGTGACGCCCTCTGCCAGCTTCCTTCGAACATTTGAGAAGTTGCGGTTACTGGAGTTCTTTCTACGGCAGCTATATGTTAAGATATAGCTTCTTTGTGGTCAAAGAGGCTCCGCCTGAAATTCGCGCATTCGAGGCGATGGGCTTGATGACAAAGCTAAGGGTTATGGTGACTGTATGTCATCACATTTGAAGTTTCTCAGGACAAATCGTCTGCAAGATCCGATTGGTTTATGGAGCACCGTTGAAGCTTTTGGTATTAGTAGAAAGAACTTCAATAAGTTGAAAGAACCCAATGCAGAACTAACGAATCGTATTTTGAACACATCGTAGAAAGACCATTAATCATCAACGTGCATTAATTCTAGCGGATTGTTATAATTCTAAACCGTGTGTTCCTGTGCATTCTAAACGTACATTGTTGCGCTACCGCTCTAACCATTACGGAGCGCTTGGCTGACATATTCAGTGCGCACGATACTACCTACAGCTACTTTTTCCTTCCATAAGTTCAAAACTTCTGCGTGAACTCGTGCTTGATTATAGACATTACGTACAAGCCATTCATGGTTTTGTTCGATGCCAGCTAGTTACAGTCGACTGCAAAGTGCAGCGATTTCTTTTGTTTATTCTTGAAGATTGTTTCTTTGCGCGTACGCCCGATCGAGCACAATTGGGTCAGGCGAAGATTGAAGAGTCACCCGAACCCAACACAAAGAAATGATTTCGGTTTTCTGACCCATTCGTTGTAATTATTATGTGTGGCGGTGTTCCCTAGGAGGCGACGCTATCGCGGTGGTCCGTAGTCGAATCGGGCAAATGGCATCATTTTTTCACGTACTCGGTCTCCATCTGAAGTAGGCCTGTCTTCACCACACCAACACCCACTTAATTGATTAGTCTAATCATCCAACTAGCGGCACAATATCCACTATCGCGCTGATGTCCTCTATCGTTCAGGGAGCTCTCCGGCATTATCGTCTCTACTTAAAAGCTCAGTTCGAAGTTGGCTCACGTAACTGAACGAAGCAATGGTCAGCGAATGCTTGTCACAATGTGAAATGTACTATATACGTAATATAGATTTTTGCGTACCTTCGTATTATAAGTTATTGTTGTGGATTAAAATTGAAGGATCGTAAAGTTAGGTGTACTCATAGCACAAATGTATTGCTCGGCGTCCTACCCTAAATAAGTGTGTAGAGTCAATCGATAATAGGCAACAAAACGCTTCTATGTAGAAAAACTATAAAAATCAATTTAAAAAAATATTCTAATCTATTCATACACGCAGGGGATACACCAAACTTTTAGTTATCAAGGGTTTGTTTTTGATGAACCTACCAAGCCGCCAAAGTAAAAGCGATCCGCTGAAATATAAAGAAAGCATTGTTTCCGACAGTTCTGCATCTCTGAGCCTATAATAAACTCCCTGTCTACTTGATCTTGCCTTAACTATGTTTTTCATAAATGAATAGAAATCCGTCTCCATAACCCTTCACCGTCTATATTTACTACCTCTGCCCCTCGTCACTACTTCGGTCCCTTTACCCACCCGCATTAGAACTGGATTGTTTCGTTAACGTAATCTAATAGACCCAGCTGCAATCCGGCAGAACCTGAAAGAAGCTTCAAATTGCCGCCCCTCGCGTCAAACGCTCAAGCCACGGATGCCGCTATCTCGCACGTCGGAACCACTATCATTGGGCAAATAAGACGTAAGTGTAGCATCACGACTTTTTTACGGACAGAATTACGTCCAAAGCCGAAATTAGGACGAAAGCACGAAGTCTCCATCATCGGTGTTCCGGTGTAGCCTATGGTTGTCATTGCCCAGTGGCATCGTGAATCGTCACCTCGCGCACCTTTCGCAGTTGCTCTCAAAACCTCCCACGCGCCTCTCTTCCTTTAGGTACCGTGCGAACGAAAATAAAAACGAAGTTTTCAAAGAAGGACAGCAAGTCGATAACCTGCAGCTTCTTTCGCTTCCTTGCTTTTGATTGGAACAGAAGTCGCGCTCACAAGTGACACCTAGCATTTTATGGGGTTCTGTACCAAGTAATTTAGCTAACGCTTACGCTGGGGGCGTTCAAAGCGTACGTTCTTACGTACATGCGACGACAAAAAGTTAGCGTAATTCTTTTACCTTGATTACTTTTTTAAGTTACGTGCAGATACACATATTGAAGTGAGAGAATCGGCTCTCTGCCGATAGGTAACCAATCGACGTATAGTAACTATGAAAGAACTCAACGGCATGGTTTACAGCACCTCTCCTATGCTGCACGTATACTTTAGTTTGAACGTGATAATGTATTATTGTTCCTTGTTTGACCGGATCATTATCCAGAAATCCACTTTAGACAGGATAACATGCTGTTATGTCAGTGTTAATTAGTTAAGTGCCTATTAAGTTGGATACATTAAGTTCGCCAACTTTTAGAGCGTCATACGTTTAGCTGCTGCTTTTCCGCCATATTTGTCAGCCTTTCAATATCTTATTAAAACTAGAGTTGATAGTAGCGACATCAGACGAGTAATCCCGTTGAACTATCCATGTAGTGCGCGTACGACTCACGCTGTGAACGTTCAGCTGTTAGTCTATTATTTTGGAAGCAGATTTACCCACACTTCATTGGCGATATTTCCCACACCTTACTTACCACCGCATAGCTTTCGGTTAACGTAGTGACCGATCGCTGCGAATCGCCCACAACTATATTCATAAATCCCCCCAGGACAGACCGTAATAGGACACGTATACTCGTTAGGTACCATCGTTTTCCCCTTATATTATTACTATTATGATGATTATTATTATTATTACTGAGAATGGAAAGTCAGCGTAAAGGAACGAAAACATTGAAAATAGAAGGATCGTTGTTCTCTGAATATCTACAACTCACCATTTATGTTTAACAGAGGTGACTTGAATTTCGTAATAGAAAATCTGGTTTCATTGTTCAACATGAGTATATCATTCAGATGATTCGGTTTTTTTTACAGGTTCGAGACCGTATTAATTTGCATGTGCTTAACCTGATTACTAGCGAAGATCTTTCGGTTCGAAGTCCCCACGCCACCTCCTACTGCAC